CCTCCCCCGGGCGGGGGTGGGGGGGGATGCTTTAGTCAGACTTACTATGGGACCTGGCAGCGTTAGATGCAGGTCTAAATTTGGCTCCCTTAACCCACCTTTTGACCGTAGATAACTTGCTTAAGCTTAGCGAGCCTCGATTTCTCCAGCAAATACAACACATTCCGGGCTCCCGAGTGCAGGTGTGAGGATTGAATGAGAGCAAGTATTATTGTACTGGCACCTTAAAGCCTGCTCCTCAGGAAATAACTTAGTTTTTTTTTCACCTGTGGGGAAACGGACACCCGGGGGGTGGGGGGTGGAGAGGGAAGGAAGGGGTTTGAGTTTGCTTAATGGTGCCCAGGGGTTGTGTTTTGAAGTTCCACGCTCTTTGCATGATCGTTACTGCCTCTCAGAGGCTTGCTTTTGGAACTGGGTTTTACACTTCGGCAAGTGTGAGGAACACTGTTTTCCGAGGGATTGAAGGAGCCTGGCTGGAGGGGAGAAAGAGGAGAGAGAGACCAATAGATGGGTGGGGTGTTTTGGCAGAAAATAGGGCTGTGGAGCAAAAGGCCAGACCAGCTACCTGAAAACGAGTATGTTTTATTCATCTCAGTTCCCCAAGTGCCAAGTGCTGTGGCTGGCTCGGGACAGGAACTCGGTGAAGGTCTCTTGACTGAAGGAGGGCAGAAGGGTTTGTAGAGAATTGGACTTGTAACAGCCTTTAAAAAGGCAGCTGCATATGCAGATGTGACGTTGAAGGAGCTAACTGCGTTTGGTTTAGCCATGTTTGTAGACTAGGCTTATCCAGAAATTTTGAATGGGAGTCATTTGTCACTTGTACCGCTTTTAATGCCCACAAGGGGGAGCAGTGAGGCAAAAATTGATTTTTTTCTCCCCCTTAGGTAGGGATGTTGACCAGCCCTTTGCTTATTCTAAGAACAGTGTTTAAAATGTACTGAAAGTTTCCGTGTGAACATCTTGTCTCCCTGTAGTTGTAACTTTGAAAATATTTCAGTTATTAGAGTTCAGTTCATTGATTCGGATTCTCCTTTGTATATATGTGACGAAAAATCTGTTAAGAGTGCAAACTAGGCATATACCAGAAGAGAATGTACATGGTAGGTTGTCTTGGAGTAGTGACCAAGGCTTGTCTGCCTGTAGTTTTCCAGTCTTACACCCACATCTCCTTTTCCTGAACTGCCCGTGTCCTGCAGCAGCAGCAGCCTTGACCATGACTGCCTGTGTCTGATGCACCCTGTTCTCTGGCTGCACTTGAGGTGAAGGCAAGCTCTTTGCGTAAATCTGACTGTTTAGGAGTTGGAAATGGCATTTTCTTTTTTGAAGTAACATTTTTTTAAGTGATGGCTTCACTCAGGCCTGCATTGACTGGAATTATTACTCTTTTTTTGTTGTTGTTGTTTTTTATAAATCGAGAAGTTTATTAAGTGTGTCAGGTGATATCAACTCTGTGAATGATTTTAACAAATCCTTCTTTCCTGATTTTACTTAGACACTGAGGATGCTAGCGAAACTGACCTGGCAAAGCATGATGAAGACGACTATGTAGAAATGAAGGAACAGTGAGTATGATTTTTAGATTTCCTTTTTGGAATATAGAATTAACAAGGAAATCTCTAGAGTGATCTTGTGTGTATGGCTTTGACCATAGTGCTTCCAGGGACCATGTATATGTGTGCAATCCTCCCCCCCTTTAAATTTGTTACATTAAACCAGTCTTCCTGTTTTAAGAATCTTTTGAAGATATGCTAGAAAGAACCTTGAAGGAGTGTTCCCCAGGGAATGAGGCCATATAACAGGAGAGAACCGTTTCTCACTGTTTTTTTTAAGCTGTGAAAACCATCAGAGAGGGTTTCACAGCTACTTGGTTCTCAGATAGGCATGACCCCACCTGGCATTATCTACATGCTAGATGGTGTGCTAGATTCTGGAGAGCTCAGGGTGACCAGGTTTGGAGAGCAGGACTCCTGCTCCAGTGCACTTTCCATTTATCACACGTTCACACCCTAGCCTTCTCATTGTCTTCAACAGAGCCACAGCTAAGTATGCCCAGAGAAACTAAAACCACTCACTTTTATTGTAAACATGGATGCAAGACAGTATAAAAAACCATACCAATAAGTATTTGTTGAGTGTATTTTGAGGTTCTTGATTTGACTTTTTAAAATCTATAAACTAGATCGTCCACATTTCCTTTCCTTATAGATCTTATTTGCAAATGTTTTGTGACCATTCTCTGAATTCTGTCATTCTTTTCAACCTTTGGAACCTGAAGAGGTAATTCAGTTAAAATCTGACCAGTGCTGCTGAATAAAGGAAAGTTAACTTCATGTGATTTTTCCCATAGCTTCATCCTTGACACTGTGCTTGCTTTTTTTTAAAAAAATTATTTTTATTCTCTTTAGGCTTTTTACTGATTTACCTTGACCCATTTGAAATGTATTCTCACATGCCTATTCTTTTTCCAAATCTGAATTTTTTGTTGTTTTTACTTCTTCAGTGTGTTAATATTCCCTTTCAGAGACAGACTGAGAATTCCATGGTGGAAAATTTAGTATGCTGGGTTCCATATACTGACTTCTTGTGTGCAGTTTACATACCCATTCCCTCCTGTACTTGACACGTTTCAAAATTTTTTAGAGACAGTCTTTTAAAGAATGTGCCCCTTAATATTTGACGATAAATAGTTTTGATTAAAATGGAATTCCTTGCGTGCTTCAAGGCGAGCACTGAGAGTATATCAAAATTTTCCTAAAAGAATCAGACACGCTGAGTAATTCTCAGATTCTGCCTGCTTCTTCCTTAACCTGTAGATAGTTGGGGGTATTTGCAGGCTTTATTTGACCAAGCAAAATGCTGTTGTGCCTGTTATCTGTAGGATAGTGGGTTTTGGGTTTTTTTCAGGTTGCAAATCTTGTTTTTGAAATTGGGGGTGTTTTTCAGGGAGAAATAAAAATATTGCTGAATTGTGATTTACATGTGAAATCTACCATTCAAACAGACTTGCCAGAGTGTATAATTGCCTATAGCTCAGTCAGTGTGAGAGGAAAAAAAATAACACACCAGGTTCTTTTGCTTTATGTGTGCTATGTGTTCTTATCCAGCTGGGGCTGAAAATAAATCATGCATTTTAACTTTTGGTACTGAATTACTATTATTTCTCTGATCCTAAAAAAGTAGTGCTTTTAAAAATGACATGAAGATTTATTAACTTAGTGCTTACACGGCAATGCTACTGTACAGAAAAATGTGCTGAAGGCATAATCTTGCCTCTTTGGAACTTATAATCTAATTGTAGAGTTGAGATATGAGCCATGTTTAATGCCTTTCCTACATTTGTGTGTGTTTTACTTATCTTGTAAATCTATAAGGAAATGGCCTCACACTTTGAAATTTTCTTTGTATGTTCTTGCCTAACTCTTTATCATTGCCACTTATTTATCAAAATCTGCATGTCCATTCATGTTTGTAGATTTTAGACTGATTCTCTAAAGGTGGGATAACAGAAGAATCTACAAAATTGGGATAGGATTCAAGCACACAGAATCCTTGTCCCTTTCTGATCCCTTTAGCTGCTGGTACATTTTAAACAGCTAAAGGATACTGATGACATTTCTGTAACAACCCAGGTAATAATTTTTGTGTGTAGATTATTTTGGAATTGAGTACTGAATGTTTTTGTCTTTCAGTGTGGCTTTCCTTTCTTTACAGGATGTATCAGGATAAACTGGCTTCTCTCAAGAGACAGTTGCAACAACTGCAGGAAGGTTGGTGTGCGATTTAATCCTTCATTTCTAAATATACTTCTTAATATTGCAAACCTTTGAAATCTGTGTATTTCACTTCTCTGTTGGAGTGATTTACAATTTGGTGGGGCTGATTTTAGTTGTGTCAGTGTACATCTTGCTGTCTTCTGTCAGTAAGTTTGATTTTTAAGCCATTTTGAATGTCACTTAGGGCCTTCTGTAGAGCATGAACTGAATATCACTGTGCCTACAGCTGGACATTTTGTAGGAGTGATGATGTTTCCAAAAAGTAAAGTTGCACTAAACTAAATACTAATGAACTGTGGATTTTCCTTACTTTGTTTTCTCTTTTTTACTTGGTAAATTAAAAATGGATTGTGTCTTGTTGAATACTGCTTTTCTGCTAAAAGCAGTTCAGCATGGGGGTTAAGAGCACAGGCTCTTGAGTCTCACCATGGGTTTGAATCCCAGCGTCACTGCTTTCTAGAGATTTGACCTTGGGCACATCCCTTGGTCTTGCTTAATTTGTTTTCTGATCTACAAAATGAAAAAAAAAAAGACAGTGTGTGAGATTATGTGCAAAGAATGACTAGCACTGTCCAGCACACTGTGAGAGCTCAGGGACAGTTAGCTGCTGCCATTAGCTCTTTGGCTTCATTTTGTGGAGTCCCCTCATCAGTGAAACTGCTTTTCTACTGGGTACTTTCATTGCTTGGACTGTTCCGTCTTGTGTTGATTTCTGCTTAATAGTGAAAATGTTCCCATGAGTTGCAATCACACATCTTTTTAAATTTATTTCTATTTTTTCTTTCCATGATAATGGAACTATCGCCAGAGAAAGAAATACATTCTACTCTGGCAAGTCTGTAAGGAAGGCATGGTTGAGTGGGGGATTTTGAAAAAGATGCTGCTAATACAGGGTGGGGCAAAAGTAGGTTTACAGTTGTTCATATGGAAAATAATATAAGAATAAACTCTGTGTTTTGCATACTCACAACTATAAGCCTACTTTTGGCCAACCCTGTATGTCTGACTAAAGCATTATGATTAGGAAACACTTCCCACACTAATTGGGACCCTCATAATGAGCAGCTTTTGGGAAGAGCAATGAAATGAGTAGGGATTTGGTAGGACTCAAAACCTGAGCTGTCCAGTATTATCACTAGCCACGTGTAGCTATTTATATTAAATAAAATTAATAATTTGATTCTTAGTTGCATTAGCCACATTTCAAGTGCTTCGTAGCCACGTGTGACTAGTGGCTACCATATTGGACAGTGCAACATAGAACATACCCATGATTGCAGAGACAGTTCTAGATGGCAGTGATCTAGACCTTAGCTTATAGAAAGAGAGAGAAGTTTTCCCAGGAAAGGAAAGCTCGTTGACTCAAACTGTAGCGACAGGTGATCAGAATCTCTCGAGTTGCCTGCGCCTTTCTCTGACCCCTCGCTCGCTCTGGAGGGTGTCAGCCCACTGCACTGCGGTGACTTCTGCCGTGTCTTGGTTGGGAGCCAGAGTCCACTTAGCTCTGCGTGTGCCTTTTTGCGGTTTGCGTTTCTTTCTGATGTTACTAAGACAGTCGCTGTTGGTGCTGGAAAGTACCTGTAGGGACCAAGACCGAGGGCATGTCTTCAAGGTGACTTTGTTGTAATCCTCACTACTAGGCACGCTGCAGGAGTACCAGAGGAGGATGAAGAAGCTGGACCAGCAGTACAAGGAGAGGCTGCGCAACGCGGGTAAGACGCCCCCAGCAGGCTGTGCCGCCTGTGTGCTCCCCCCCAGCCCGTCGGTGCGCTGCGGGCACGGGAGCTCTTCCCCACATGTCTCAGATATGGCACTGAGGGGGCGTTTCAGGGAAGAGAGACTTCAAAGGTGCAGTTATGTGAAATGCTTCATCTTTTTCCCAGTGGCCATACTCAAGGCTGATAGTAGAGGCTCCTTGCAGTCAGGGTATCCCCCCTGGTGCCCCAAGAATTGCGCATTCTTTCTTGGGCCTGCATGGCTGGCTTAAGGGACGATCAGAGGAGCTGACATGGAAAAGGATTGTAGGTTGTTTTACTCCTGTTTTGAGTTTTCTGCTTCTGGTATTCTGTGCTCTGGGAGGACATCTTTTAAATGTATTATAAACATTTAGAGAAAAAGAATACGCTTTTGGTCTGTAGTACACAGTAAATGTATTCATTCAACAAAGATTTGTTGAGCATCTGCTACATCTAAGTTCTGTTAGCAATATAAAGTAGTGTAAGACATTGTCCTTGACTTAAGGAAATGAGCTGTTTCACTGACAAAAGATATCCAAAAGCATAAATGAAGGAACATTATAAGTTAAATTAAGAATCATAGAAAAAGTAAGATGTGATGACTGTTGAGTGTGTGTAAACACAGATTGCTGTGTTTACAGGAAATCTTTTGTGTTAAATTTTGAAGCTTCTCATCAGCCAGCATTTTGAGTGCCAGCATGTTGTTTATTCCTGCAGTGGTAAAAGTAACGTCGGGTTTTAAAATGAGGTCTGGGTGCTGTCCTCTTACTTTCTGATCCAGTGACTTCCCAGCTTTCTGTTGATGGAACCCTTCTTTCTCTCCCTCAGTGAGTAGATGTTCAGTGGACACCAGCAGATAGAAAAGGAGCTGAAGGATGTGAGGGGTGCTGGGACAGTGGAGATATAGCCATTAGCATTCTACCCACCTACATCCCTCCTGCCCCTATGATTACTCCTCCCACACCCCATCTTTAAAGTCCTCAACCCTTTTCCTAGAGTTCTTCTTTAGTAGGGAAAGGAGGTAGTGCCATGGAGAGTGAGGTCCTAGGTCTGGGTCTTCCATCACTTTAGGTCTTATGCCTGTAGCAGGTATTTGCTCTTGGAGCCTCAGTTTCCCCATCATAGAGGGGAACGTACCTCATGGAATTGGTTTAAGATGTAAGGAAAGAAAATTAATGTGAGTCATTTTTCTTAAGCTAGAACTGCAGGGTGAGTATGGAGTTGTTTTTCTTAATTCCACTCTCAGTTCTGTCCTCGTGTGATCTTTCCTAAACATCCCCCACCCCCACAAAAATGCAGAAGAGCTCCTTAATTAGTCATGGCTTGAGCTTTAAAAAGCACATTCCATGCAGAGAAAACCCACCTGCTTTAGTTGTGTCTGTCTGGCTGCTTTAACTAAAACCACCACCACCAACTCTGAGTGCTAATTGTCAGTTTGACTTGTCTGTGCAAGCGTGATTTCTCAGGATGGCACAGACTTCAGATGTTTGACCTGTTCATGAGTGGCCCAATTCCAAAGTGATCACAGGAGTGAGCATGTTGGACTGGGTGTGCCTGTGTTCATGTGCCCAGGGATTCCCAGTGATCAGAGTGTTCAGGGGTTAGAAAAGAATGAGTGGCCTGTCCTTCAGTTAATTTTCTCACTCAACAACTGTTATTTGACATCTAGATTCTTAACCTGGAGTATCTGAGACTCTCAAAATCTTAAGATGTATGTGTGAATGTGTGCACATGTGATTTTTTTAATGGGGGGAATGGATTCATAGGATTTATCAGATTTGCAAAGGAGACCATAGTGAAATGTGAACAGCACCCCCTGCAGTTGTTGGTCGGCTAATGTTCTTTGTGGACCTTATGCAGCAGCTCCATTGTCACCCAGGAAAGATCAGAAGCCAGGGACCTTTTTGTTCCAAGTCCTGGGTTTTGCAGAGGGTCTTTCAATCTAGTGGTGGAGGAAGCTGCTGGATTAACAGTTGCTAGTTGCCTGGCACACAGAGGGTGCTAAATAAACTCTTGAATACTGTCGGGTAGATACTTTCAGGTATCTAAGAGTGGATGGTGAGTAAAGGGTCCTCAGGAGAGGCTTGTTGGAGGTGGCTGCATTAGATCTGAAACTTGGAAATGAATCAGACCTGAGGGCATTGCTGGTGGAGGCATGTCCATGAACAGAGGCTTGGTGGCCTGAGAGCAAAGCCCAGGAGGGCTCAGAACCTCTGCCCTCTGAGTACTCGGGGACTGTCCTTCCTTACCACACAGAGCCTGACACACAAGGCTTTAAAAACGTCAATATTGACTCTTTCTGGAGTAACTGCATTGCTTCTTCCTGACTCATCCTGCTCTGTAGGACTGTTGGAGGATAGGTATGGAGTGAAAAAAGGGATAACTTTTATTTTTATTTTGTCAAGGTAGTTTGGTTCCTGCTGCTTGTTTTTGCCCTTGGGCAGAACTGCCAAAGCTGATGCTATGCAGGGCCAACTTTTAAGTAGACACAAGTGCTTCCTGCATCCTTCCCCTTCATGTATATCAGCACTTTACTGATGAAAACATTTGCTCTGGGTAATCGTGCTTTCAAAAAGCAATTACTGCTCCTAAATGAATCCTAACACACTCTCTAGAAAGGTGACACAGCCTAGCGAATCTAATTGCACGTTTTGTCTCTTTCAGAACTCTTCCTCCAGCTGGAAGTAAGTATCACGGATCTTCTGGGTTTGCAGGCTCTTTCTCAAACTGGGATCTTGCTCTCCCAATTGGTGGCCCTTCCTTCTATCACCAAATAGACAGTTGGGAAGCCTCCAGCTGGAAGCCTTTGTCACTGTTCTCTTTGATGAAAGGACATTTGGTCTCAATTCAGAAATCCCATCTATTCATTTGTTTGTTGGGTAGCCTCTGTCACAGGGGACTAGGGGACACTCACCCCTCACGGCTTTCTTGTTGACTTTGATCTCACATTAAAGCTACTTGGGAGTATGTCTGAATTATAGTGGCCTCATAATTTATTATGTTGGTCCTCAAAGGCCCCAATTTCTGAATTGGCCCAATAGTTCAGTTTTACAGCTGAGACTCTGTATCAGCAGGAAAGACGGATTAAAACTTTTCTTTCATTCAGCAGACATCCGGTGCTGGTTCTGTGTGAAGCACAGAGCTTTGGTACAGAGGTGAGGGCCTGAATCTTGAATGGTGTACTGCTCCTGGGATGGCATGTGTGTGGGGGTGGGGGGGTGAGTTTATCAGAGCCACACATGAATGTGAGAAGGTCATGGTCTATCAGAACCACATTATTGGAAACCATTTCGTACTTAAGTCAGTGCGGCACACACAGTCACATCCTGAAGGATCACACAATCCATAGCCACTGCCCACCATAAGCCCCCTGGTGATATTTAGAAAATGAATGTTTATGCAATTTTTATTCAGTATAATTTCAGTGTTCAACACTTTGGGGTTCAGACACCTAATAAATGATCTACTCTGGTTGATCTTTATCTTACTGTCAGAGCATACGGTATCAAAACATACAGTAACTCCTGCCATCTTGACATCAGTTAATTTTGAATATAGATATTTCATTTGGAATGTACTGTTCTCCTTTGAAATTGTGTCCTTAAAGGGTTTATTTACTATCTTTGAGGAATTAATGTTCTATTTAAACACACAAGCCATAAAATACAAGCTGTGGAAGAGATGAAATACCTGAGTAGCAAGTGAGGTATACTCACAAAAACAAACAAGTTGTGTGGTTTGAGTTCACGCATTCATTGGAAAGCTGGCTCCCAGAGACCCAGTGACTGCGGGGTTGTGCGAGTGCACCTATTTCTCATATTTCTAGTAAAGGTATTTTCTTTGCTTTTGGGTGCAGGGCCAGACTTCAAGGTAGAGCCCTGGCTGCCGGGGCCATGTACCCTATTCTGTTTTTCTTTTGCTCAGACTGAACAAGTGGAAAGAAATTACATTAAAGAAAAGAAGGCAGCAGTGAAAGAATTTGAAGACAAGAAGGTTGAGCTGAAAGAGAACCTAATTGCTGAGCTAGAAGAAAAGAAGAAAATGATTGAAAATGAAAAGCTAACAATGGAACTGACTGGAGGTAGGAAAGCACCAGAGGGTCCTGGGAGGCCTGAGGCAGGGCCTGGGGGGCGGTGGAAGCCCGGTTAACTCCTGTCTTATGTCTCAGTATCTCATCAGAATGGAGCAAGCTAAAAGAGTGAGCTTTGACATGACAGGTCAGATATCTAATTTTGTCTTGTATTGGCTGTGTGACTTTAGTCAGCTACTTAACCTCTCTGAGCCTATTTCCCCCTCTGTAAAATGGGCTGATTATACCCTGTCTCACAATTGTGGCTAGCACAGTGCTCTGAACGTAACAAGTATTCAATGAATTGGATATTCAACCTTTAATAGTAACTGCAACCTCTGGCTTATGCTTTATTTAATGTAATTCTTGGGTCAGCTGCCATTCGTGTCTTGGTTATGTTCACAGATTACTTACCTGAGTTCCTCTGCTTCTTTCTTTTTCAGTCTGCCTTAATTACAGAAAAGACCTTGTCTTCTTTTGACCTAGATGTGAGAACAGAGGCTTTTGGCCCTACCACCTATGCTATTATATCCCTTCTCCCAGGCCTTACTGTGAACATTTTAGAAAGACCTGATACGATTTCAGCAAGGGTAGCTAAACTGAACTACTTTCCTGTAAAGGTAGCAAGTTACATCGACTCAGAGCCAGTCCCTCCCTTGTCTTCTAGGATTTAGTAATCTGCATATGGAAACTCAGCAGGTTTGAGGATAGAAGCAATATGGGCTGACTCTTCTGTTGCCATATATAGACTGATGAGTCCTAGATGGATACAGGGTAGGAATTAGCTTGAATTAGCTATTGTGGAACTTGGCAAAATTTTCATCAGCAAATACCACAAGGAAAGTCAGTGGTGAGTTGGTCACTTGGATACGAAGTGGGAGGTCTCAGCACACCCCCAAATTTAATCATATTCTGAAGGTACTGGGGCGCTGGCATGCCTGATTTTAGTAGGGGTCCCTTAGCAAACGCATTGCTTTTATGTAAGTCCTTGGGGTTGACCTTGAAACTAAAAGTAACAGTTAAGAGCTTTGTTTCCCCATCCGTATTTCCAGTGCTGTGAACCAGTGACGGAAATTGGCCTCCCAATTGACATAAACTTCTAGCTCCAACCCCATGATACCCTGATGAGAATGTGGTTGTGTCTAAAGTGGGAGTTTCACCCTTGAAAAATCTCTCCTCTGATAGTTTCCTCATTGAGAGACGTGGCAAAAGGAGTGAATCCCTTGAAGACCTCTGAAAGCAGCTCGGGAACGTTTTTTGAGTGAGGATGGATGCTAAAGTAGCATCTTCAGACAGCACCATCTTGTTCTTGTTGCAATGCTTTTTTAATTAGACTGTGAGCACTGTGGTACCTAGTTTGGTGCCAGCCTTCCTGCCTGTTTTCTGACCTGCACACCATTTTCTCGGATGGTGACTGTGACTGGCATTGACGCCTCATCACTCTCTGCTAGAGCCACCAGATGTTCGGGAGCCTTCATTAGGCTAGTGGGAAATAATTGTCCTTTATAGCTGTTCCCTCTCCATCTGCAGGGAAGGATATCATCACCTTACCTGTGATTTGGCATCCTAATTATTGACAAGCGATAGACTTTGTTTGGCCAGGCAGTTTTACAGCCAGAACCTTAACTGGGACAGGAGGCATTCTCAGTGATTTAAGGCGGAACCTGCCAGAGTAGAAAAGATAAACTGGGGGAAATCATTTGTAATGCAGTAAAATAGATGACAGAAGTGCTCGAAGCTAGCCATGGGCATTAAAGGTACCGATGGCCTTCCTCAAGCCATTTGTTGGTACTCTTGGTATGGAGACATTGCCAAGGTAATGATAGAGTGTTGAAAGAAAAGGCACTGGAGCTAGAAGGATAATTAGCATTTCCACAGATGGTGCTGCTATGGTGTTGGATTAAAGGCCTGATTTCCTTCCTCTCACTGAGTGACTTATTTCACCTTTGTGGATTGATGCCCAGCAGCAGTGTTGCCCAGCTCTGCCCAGAAAAGAGATTTCTTAAAATCTCCTGGTTCAGCATGAAGATCTCCTGAAAACCAAAATGAAGTAAGACTGATGAGAAGCTTAGTCCAAATAACCCATTAGAAATGGGTGGATCCAGTGACCTGCTTTGTCTGCACAGGACTTAAAGCGTTTACAGACCTCCATGGGAATTTGGGAGGTTCTCTTCACTTCCCTAACCTCTTGTGGAGAACTTATGAGGACAGCTGGATTGTGCATATGGAAAGGTGTATTGGCAGTAAAGAACCTAGGATAAGTTTAGGTCATGCTCCCCCATCTTGAATGTGTATGATTCACTTGGGGGCCTTGATAAAACACAGATTATGGTTCAGGGGGTCTGGAGTGCCGCCCATGAGCCTGCATTTCTAAGCATCTCCTAGGGGCGGTGGCGGCAGTTGCTGCTGTTGCTGCTGCTGCTGCTGGTCGGAGCACACTTTGAGCAGTGAGGTTATAGGTAGAATTACCTGAGTGTGTGTGTTTTCTCTGTAGTTGAGGCCAAGATAATAAATAACCCAAATAATTAAAGGGAATTTAACGAGCTTGAAAATGTGGGGAGCTTTATCATTTTTAATTCATTTTTCCTCTTCCGGTATTCAGAATAGCTGCCTTTTCTCCATTCTTCCAACAGACCCTTAACTGTCACTTCATTTTCTTTTGTAAATTCTTGGTCCACCAGGGGCATTCTCTAAAACTCAGGCCCCTGTTGAAGCTACTCATGACCTCAGTAAAAAGGCTGTTAGTTTCTTTCAGAAGGTACTGAATTCATAGCTGTAGCCATGAGTAATTATAATACCAAAATAGGAGTTCTTTTTCAAAATATAATATCAAAATAGGCAGCTCTATCATTTTTATATAATATCTGGCTCAATGTATTACCCCCCCCTCCCCATCCCCCAGGTATGGTAGCCATGGGGAAGGGCACACTTGGCCACTCTCTGTAGTGGACAGAACATGCCTTGATGTTCACAAGCTAGATGCTTTTTCTCTGGTGCTCTTTAGGGTTGAGTGAGCTCCCTTTTTACCGTTTTCTAAGTTAGGTCTGAATGTTGCAAAGCCTCACAATTGACTTCAGTTGCCTTCAAGTCTGTAACTTCTTTTTCAGCTGTATGCACCTTGACTTTTTAAAAAAGATCTTTGTATAGTTTTTTCCTGGCTGAAAATACAGTAATAAAAACTAGCATTGATTGAACTCTCGTTATGGCAGGCACTGTACAGAGGGCTTTACACATATCATCTCACATAATCCTCACAACACCCTGTGAAGGCAGTTTTATTGATAGTTCATTTCATACACAAGGAAACGAGACAGAGTATTTATGTAGCCTGCCTTAGGTCACATAGCCACAGCAGGGATTCAGACCCGCTGGTCAGTAAGTAACTGGAGAAGGGTGGCATCTTGGCATAGGGTAAGAGATTTCTTTTAGGGAGAACCCCCCCCACATACCTTTTCCCCAAAGGTGCCTGTATGTTTGTCCTTCCTTTTATCCCCACTTCCAAGTACGCTTTTATCAATATTCATTAGGTCTGTGGTTCTTATTACTTTACCTCCATTTCTTCTTGGGAGGAAAAAATCGTTCGCCCATATCTTAAGAGCAGCATGCAGAAGCATCATTTGACTTTGTATGCGTGTGTATTATATACTCATATCCCATGGTTTGCTGTAGTGGGAGGGTTACATGAGAATTCTGCAAGGCTTTCCTGTCTATCCTGTTGACAGTGTGCATAATCTCGAGTTAACTTTATCTCATCATCAGACTGGGGTGGGGGCAGATTCCACGCTGGGGTGGAATTCAAGCATCTGTTGGGGGAAATGTCTCATACTTTATGGCGCTTGGCAGTAGAGGTTTGTACAAATGTTCTGATTACTGTCAATGGAATTGGTCAGAGGGGCATGTTGCGTAGGAGTTTACTGGGCAGAAAACAGGACGCTAGGCAGAGAGGACAGGGTGCAAAGTCTTAAAGGCATAAAAAGTACAGTGCCTTTGGGTAACAAAATAGCTAAAAGCTCACACACAGGGTCTGTGCGAATAAAGAAGTGAGGAGGACCAGAAGTGAGGCTTGGCCTTTATTTTGTAGAGAGCAGTGAGCCATTGAAATATTTGAGTGAGGTGCAAAATGACCTGATTTGTGTCTTAGGAAGATCACTTTGAGGGAGGTGAGGATATGATGAGGGGTTAGAGTTGAGAGATAGTTAAAAAGCAGAACTGCCATTATCTGGTGGATTTGATGCTTGGATGAAGGAAGACAAGTCACAGATAGATTTTGTTCTGGCTTGGTAGGATGGATAGATGTGACGCCCCTGAGACACAGGAAAGGAGGCAGCCTTGGGAGGTGAAACAAGAAGAGATGAATTGGTTTGAAGAATGTATCGTTATGTAGGCTATTGGTGGCCATTCAGAAGGGTAGGTGGACCTGGAGTTGATGATCAGAGATTCATTGGGATACAGGCTGAGACTGACTGGACTCCAGAGATCACCAGTTTCTAAGGGGCAGGTCAGGAGAGAAGGAGAGATTTGTGTGGCAATGGCTGGGTAGGAGAGATTTTAAGGTGAGGGGAGCTGACAACCAGTGTTAGACTGCAGAGAGGTCAAGAAGAATGAAAAGAAGCCTTTATGATGAGCCTTCATTGTATCATTCTTGATAGTCAAGTAGCTACAAAAGGTTATTAAATAAAGAGTCCGTGTTTGTAAATGAAGATCTCATAAAATTGTTGGCACAGATGCCACTGGCCTCTAAAAGAGTCTTATACCAGTGGGTTACAGGGCAGGTATTCTTACTTTACAGAAATTCTCGCTGACTTCAGTGGGGTTTGGATAGATTCACCCATTCATTCTTGCCACAGATTCTATGGAAGTGAAACCCATCATGACCAGAAAGTTGCGGAGGCGACCAAATGATCCTGTCCCCATTCCAGACAAGAGGAGAAAACCTGCTCCTGATATCCATTTGCCTGAAGCCTTGATCACTTTTTTCCCCTTAAGACTATTGAATTGAACCCTTTGCTTAAAGGATTAATCAGTTGATAAAATACACATGGCTATTGTCCTACAGAAAGTAGTCCTCTTTGATTGGAAAGGCGGACTTGGCCATTTTATGATTGGATTCCTCAGTTGCTACTGCTTTTTGTGGGAGGGATTTTGACAGAGCAGTCTTTGGAAGGGTACTTTGTGTTGGCAGTTCAACCTGGTTTTAATACTCACTTGGAGATTCAGGGGCAACTGAAAATTTCATGTACCTTAATTTTTTTTCACCTGCAAAATGAGTACAGTGATATCTGCCTTTTCTACCTCGGTTATCTGTATCCCTGGATTACAAACTTCTTAAAGCAAATGAAATTTCAGTCAGACATAAAGAAGCCTCTTTAATAAAAGAAATGGGAATGGGAAGATGACATATGGGGAAGTATTGAGGATCTAATAGCCATTTTCACAAAATGGTCCAGTTGTTTGTCTGCCACCAGGAAAGGGCATAACTTCAGGTCCCTTTCTCTTCACAACTGAGGATCTAAGTTACTAGGGAAGATTAACCCCATGTATGTATGTGGAAATCTTCAAATCTTTGGAACAAAAGCACTTCATAAGTTCAGGATGAAGTTCTTTCATTGTGTGCTATGCTCACAACTATTATAGTTACCTATTGATGCTCATTCCAGCTTTGCATCTTGAAGTTTGTAAGATGGGGGGTGGGGGTGAATTCTTTTATATACCTGGCACCCTGACATTTAGTAGTAGAGTCCAAAACTTCCAAGAGACAAACTGTTGTAAAAATGTCATGTAACATAAGCACACTTTGTAAATTCTAAAATACTGGTACCATTTTGTTGAATTCTGTTTGTCTGGAAACCGTGCTTTTCAGACTCATTTCTTTAACTCTCAACACCCCAGCTAAACTATTTGTTAACGGATGAACAGATCATGGAGGATCTGAGAACGTTAAATAAGGTACAGTTTGATTTTTTTGATTTATTTGAAAGCTTAGGCGTGATATGGTTTTCAGCTTTACTTTGCTCACATGTTACTTGTTAAATCAGTTTTATACCTTTGACACCGTAAGTTGCATCTGAAGTGATTTTCTCTAAGATTTTTTGTTGTTCTTTCTACAGCTTAAGTCACCCAAGAGACCAGGTAAGTGCATGACGTTATTGGTACTTGTGCAATTTTTTATTGTGTTTTTGGAGAAGCATGCGAATTCCTGGCAGGGAATTGTTGCCATTTTCAAAAACAAAGTGTTCATCATTTGTCTAAGATGGGGGTGTGAATTCTTTTATATACCTGGCACCGTGACATTTAGTAGGAGAATCAGGAAAGCTGAAGGGAACCCTAAGTGCACCCTTGCCTGATTTTTTTTTTTTTTAACCCTGCTATGTTAAAGTTATTTTTGTCTTTTCCTGTTTATTGTAAAATAGACATTTGATTGATTGACTGGTAAAGATTTCCTTTCTGTGTGGGCATAAGCCATAAAATTTAAGTTCACATTCTTTTCTGAAAATGAAACCAGAAGGATTTGTCAGTATTACTCGCTTTATGGAGTTAAGTACTAGGTGCTGCTGTTGCAGTGGTCTTTCATGGTGTGGCTCTGGCCAAGGACTTGCAGGCTGCTCCCAGTCCCAGCTTATAGAGGAGGCCAGCCCAGTGTTCATGGTGATTCCTTCTAGAGCCCCACTTGAGAGTCAGTGCTAGGCTGCTAGATGGAATTTGTGTTGGCAAGGCATTTGTGTTTGTTTGTTTGTTTGTTTGTTTTTTAAATATATCTTTGTTGATTTCAGAGAGAGGAAAGGAGAGGGAGAGAGAGAGACAGAAACATCAATGATGAGAGAGTCATTGATCGAGCCCGCAACCCGGGCATGTGCCCTGACCGGGAATCGAACCCCGATCCCCTGGATCCCAGGTCGACAGTCGACGCTCAACCACTGAGCCACGCCCAGCCGGGCTTGTGTTGTTTTGTTTTAAGTACTATGATTACTCACACATCCCTCTGCTCACTGTGTCTTGGGGAAGGAAACAAGATTCTTTCTTTCAATCATTTCCTCCTGAGGGCTGCTGTGGTCCACATAGGGTCTGAGTTTCTGAAGGCCTGATGGGGAAGGGGTTATTCGAGTAAGTGTGTGAATTTAGATCCTTTCACCCCACCGTAGTTACTAGCACTGCATTAGCTTGACTCTATACACACCCAATAGCCTGCTCCACCTAGTAATAAATATTTATAGGAATTTTATTTTATATAAATTTTACAGAGATTTACCTAATTTTTGCCCTTTGGGGCTTCTGGTGGGTCACTGGGATTTTAGTTCTATTCTAAGTGACCTTGGGCAAATCCCTTAGCCTGTCTGAGCCTCAGGTTTCTCCCCTCTTCAGTGAGGTTAATCTCCTTGCCTACCTCACAGGTTTGCTTTGAAGATCATTAGATGTACTATACAAGAATTTTATTGGATTCCCATTTATTACAACTGTAAGGATGATTATGATTATTAGCATCTTTCGATAGCATTTCAATTAAAGCATGTTAGATGGTGGACGCACATGTTTCATTACATGCCTAGTCATTCAGATATTTCTTTGCTTCCTCCAGCATCTCCATCCTCTCCTGAACACTTGCCTGCCACACCAGCTGAGTCTCCAGCCCAGAGATTTGAAGCCCGGATAGAAGATGGCAAATTGTACTATGATAAAAGATGGTATGTTGTGGGAAAACACAGATTACTCTTAAGAGTCTCAAAAGAACCACTTGGAAAGAGAGCTGGGCCTGTCTGTAGTTGTTTCAGAGCACAGCTGCTGCTAAACTTACATAGTACTAACCATGCATTAACATTTAAACTTGTATCAAGAGTCATTTGGTGATGATAGTTGTAAGATCTTTAAAGGCCATTTTTTTCCAAATTGTGTTTTTCTGATGGCGGCCCTCCTTTCTCTCTCCATGCTGCTGCTACTATATTACAATTTACAGGCTTACATCTTTTGTGATGCCCCTGTAGACTGGAGCCAGGGTTTGTCTTCCTCTGTCTTCTCTTAACTCTGCCCCTGGGTGCTAAAATTAATAGGTATTCTTCGGAAAAAAGGATTTTGTGGTCAGATGAGTTTGGGGGATGACCATGTTAATTCAGATAAATGGGATTTTCGTTGTAGCTCTTTGGATCCACTGACATGCTCATGTGCACTGTGAAGTTCTAAGATGTTATCAGGTGTTATTTGGTGAGGGACCCTTTCAAGTGGGTCATCCAGTTCATGAATGTTTCCAGGAAACATAGTTGGGGGAATTATGTCGTAAAACATTACCAGTGTAGATTAAAGATGGGTTGAAACCTTCAGACAACCAGTATTTTCATTGGGAAGGAAAAGGCAAAATAGTATGAAAGAACCTTAAAAGCTCATACATTTACTCATTCAGCAAACATTTACTGTCTGTTCTGTAACTAGGCATTCTGCTAGGTCCAGTCACCCCGGATCTTGTTTCCCTTTCACAGCTCTTTTAATTCTGACATATTCCTTTATTCATTGTCTGTATGTCGCACAGTCTTAGTTAATTATGTCACAGTGGACACCTCTTTGCATTCTTCTGCCTTTCTACTTGGTTATAGCAGAATGCTTTTCTGGGTTATTGTTTACTCTATTTATAATGGCTATATAATGACCTTTGAGTTTCAGTATATTTATTTAATGGAAGGTTTGAGTAATGGCATTTTAGAATTTTTTGCACTTAAAGAAAAATCCCCAACATTGTGTGTGTTAGTTACCTTATAACATTGTGCTCCTGAACTTGGCAGAAATGCTTAGTGATCTGGTCATGCCTGAGATAAATCAGTTCCACTTACTAGGTTATACTGGGTATTACCCAGTGGATGATGAAAGCTTGCTCTATTTGTAAGCCTGATCTTAGTGCCTTTCTGCCCTTCTCATTTGGCTATTCTTTGGCAGTCTTGTATCTTAATATTGTTTATCAGAACATACCACCACTAGGTGGCAGGCCCTAACAGCTCAACACACTGGGGGCAAAATAAGATGAAAAATGTTTCAATAGTGAAAACCAAATAACCTTTAAAGATCTAGCCCACACATAAGAAATGTGTTCAGAAATGATGAGGTTTATCAATAACATTTTTATGGATCTGTGAGTCCTAAAGCCACACGATCTTTCAAATAATGTTCTTTTCGTAATTGTGTTGCTTTAGATATTTCGTTTCTAAGGCTTAATCCTTTGACTTTATGAGATGTCTTGAGGGTGAAAAATGCTGTAAAATGAAATTCTTGTTTTTCTGAAGAAAGGATCCACTGTGACTGGTGTTTCAGGATTTAAGCAGAGTGGTTAGTTTTGCTGCGTTAGACCTCGTAAGCATTTTGAAGGAATTGCACTGTCTTTCGCGCGGTGGCACCAGAAATTTTGAAAATAAGGTCTTTGGGAGCATTTTACTTTTTCAGTGAATTTAAAGCTGCCTTTATTCTACTGTTAAATGTTGAAACTGTTGTTTTCTTCTGTATTCTGTGTGTTTCTCTTCTTTGGCCTTGGCAGTCAAAGTTCATGTCACATTTGTTCTTTCAGCAGGTCCCTCCCTTCCGTATTTGGGAGGTGTTCATGGGAGTCCTGGCTGCCACGTTTACTAGTACAGAACCAGCCTCTCCTGTCTCACCAGGCTCTGGTGTTTGCCGTTTGTGTCCTTGTCAGATAGAGGCTGTCATTTTTCCTTCTCTTTCAGCATTCTTGTCCTGTGGCTGAGAGGTGAACTGAACTGCTTTAATGTTCTTTCCAGTGGTGTGGAGTATTTTGGCGAAACAGTATTTCTGGCAAAACATGTGTCATTGAGTTTTAAATGACTTCAGCAAAATGAGTGTGGTTCAGGCTTCCCATCTTGGCGAGAACACTTATCAAGCTACATTTCGTTTTGAAAGATAAGCATCTTCCCTTTGCCTTGGTCTTAGTACTGCATTTAAGGCAGTTTATATCCTGCTGCAAGTTTTCCTCACATTTCAATTTGGACTAATGACCCTTCTTAGGAAGTACTGTGAAAGTAGCTGATACTTTAAAATAACTAACTGATGGCGCTGGCAGACTTTAGTCTCTCCTCACATTAAATCTGGGGCTGCTAATGTGAATCAGAAATGAAGTCACCCACTTGCTTCAGTGGATTTAACCCTCCAGCCTTCAACTGACACAAAAGACTTAACTCAAAACAGTGAATATTTACAACTAGAATTGGGACTCTTTGAGGTACTATAGCTGTGACATGGTTTTTTCTTTTGAAGTGAAACAATATTAAGATTCCCAGTAGGGTACAAAATTAAATTAATTCTACCCCTCCCTGCCCCACTTTTTGACCCACCTTCTAAAGAAATTGCTTTCTTCCATAAGAGTAGTGGTGATGCTAGTTCACTGGGTTTAATAGTAGAGGCAAAGCTCTAAGAGCTTAATTGTAGGGATTCCCAGGTCAGAATTTCCATTAGTAATAAAGTGATAAAGTTAGCTTGACATTTGGGGCTTGTCCTCTGAGGCTGTTTAAAATATTTTTTCAGCAGAGATGAGTTGTAGCTTGTAAAATGGGTTAATTGGCAGAAAAGTAATAATGTACATTTTTACTAATTTAGCTCAATTGATGTTGCTTTTTAACATTTTTATGTCTATTTTGAATTTCTTCCTGCATTTTTTTATTAGTCTTTAGAAATTGGAAAGTAAATTGTATTTTAAGGATATAATGTACTTTTTGGTTTCATCTTAAAAACACTTCGTATGTGAGCACTGAGGC